GGGTTATCACAGGGTGATGTCACACTCTCTTACATAAGGTAGGATGGGTTGGAGGGTGGGGTTATCACAGGGTGATGTCACACTCTCTTACATAAGGTAGGATGGGTTGGAGGGTTGGGTTATCACAGGGTGATGTCACACTCTCTTACATAAGGTAGGATGGATGGAAGGATTGTTTTATCACAGGGGAAGGGGGGATTGAAGGCTTGTTTATTATTGGAGAATGTTGCCCCTCACTTTTAACCTTGAGGGGAAAATATCCTTATTTCTTGAGATGGCATTAGGGGGGGGGGGTGCTGAACATTAGCTTTCTCAGAGAAAGCATGTCCGTGTCATGGCTTATCACTTGACTGCAGTAAGAGCAACTTCATTTAGCCAACCTATTTTGAATGAATGTACAAACAAGAACTCTAAGATCAGGAGATCAGTGGGGGCAGTTGGTGGGTGCTCTGGTGTGCTTTGCCTTTTCTTTCCTTTTGAACATCTATTGTTCTTATCTCTCCTTCTTTTTTGTGTTTGTTAATCTCTTGTAACACCTCTAATCTTTGACACTTTTATGACTGTATTGTATTTTATGTGCTGTAAAACTATTACTAAAACAAAAGAAAAATGGAGATCAGTCTCTCATGAGAACGCCTTGGCAGGGAGGTCAAAAATTGGCTTGGAGGTCATGGTCTCACACAGCTCTGTATTCCAGGCTGGTCTCCCGTCTATGTCGTCGTGCGAGGAGAAGGCCAAGTCCCTGGAAGCGTCAGGCTGCGACGTCTTCGACTGTGTCAAGCTTTACCTTCTCTCCCCCGTACCAGAGAGAGGCTTACAGCTGGGACTACGTGCTCTCAGAGGTTGGCCTTCTTTTGCCTTACTTGTGTGTTGAACATTTGTCAGTTTGTCAAAATGTCGCCGGCAAGTGACCCTATTTTTATCCTCCAGTAGAGAGAAATTTTTGTAGAGTATCTTGGTCTTTTTCTAGAATGTTGCATCCCCCTCAACCCGTGTTGGCCCTGACAGGTAGGGTCAGAATCTGACACGGCGTCACTTTTCGCCCGATTATGTTACCCAGCTCCTTGGCTCGGGGTCACGGGGTTGATGAGCCCTGAAGCAACTTTGCCGGTGTTGGTTAGGAAATTCGCATTTTTGTCTACGTTTGAAACGATATAACTTCTTCCCCATTCCACACAGCAAACCATTACGCGCATGGACTAAACGCTCAATGTCCTGAGATTTATTTTGCGTTAAAATGGTTTATTTTTGTGCCTTAGTTTTTGTTCTAGATAAGTGTTTGTTCAGTACCCAATTTGTCCTATTTTAGTTACATACTTTTGAATAAATGATTGTTCATTTTAAAGTGGCATGACAGATCTCTCAAAAATCTGTATTAAACTGACTACGAATATCATGTCTTTTACTATGAAAAATCTTAAATCTGCGTGAGTAGTAATTGTCAAGTTATAAGAGAAGAAAGATGCACATCTGCATTTTTTAACTAAAGACACTCGGCGTAAGCTCTTGCTCTACCCTTAAACAAGAGAAAGTCACTCTGCGTTTGTTCATAAATCTTGCTGTGTCTGTGGCAGCCTACATACAACACTAAGAAAGATATATTATGAGATTTTTAAAAAAACACAAAACTGTGTTAATACATGGGTAGAGATGAACTTCTTGTATGGAATAAGAATAATGACGGCGAACACATTCATTCTTAGTTTTTGTGTCGGATATGTGCGGACACTTATGAATGTAAAGAAATCAAAACATTGTCAGTTATTGCAAATGGTTATAGGAACGAAAATAAAAGCTGCAAAAGCCTGGTGCTGATTCAGTGTCACTGGAAAGCTAGAAATTATTCTTATAACACATTTATGAGAAGTCATCCCTGTTATTCAGTCAACTTACAAAACCTAGATCTAGCATTTTAAGGAATAATTTATTGAGTGTAACTGACAGCCTACTGTTAGTGTATTACATTGTTGTAAATGTATTCTAGCACTAAAATCGGTTTGTAATTTTCTATAGAGGGACATCAGGGTAATTTTGATAAACTTTAGAGAAAATATGTGAATATTCCCGATTATATTAGACACATAAAGTTGTATTTGGAGGAATTACTTCATAGCGAATTGTGTGCCAGATGGATAAAGTTGCAAAATTACAGCTTCCTATAATACGCGCAGATACCATCTTTTCTGAGTATCTGCACCAATGTTATGTCGTTCATGTTCCAAAAGTTCGACAGTTTTTGTCGTTCCTTTTTTTTTATAGTTTTTTTTTCATTCACACATGTCCCAAAAAATTAACAATTTAGCATTGCCGCCTTCAATGTGTCCAACGAAATAACCAGACAAGTTACAATGTCCGTTGTTTTTTGGGTCTCAAGAGCAGAAATGCGTGAGGAATACACCTAAAACTGTACGTTGAAAAGTACCAAAAATTAAGTCAGTCCAGACAGAGCATCGACAGGGAGCTGACCCCCGTGACCCCGACGTGATAGGGCGCTCGGCGGGAAATCCCCCACTACAACTATTATTCCACTGCCAGTGTGCCTTGCTCACCTCCTAAAGAATCTGAACTGTGTTGATGGCAGTATGAAACCCCACATTTTTGCTGCGACATTAGTCATAATTTTTTTTTTAAGTTTTGCGATTATCAAAGAAAAAGAGAGAGATCAGGCTGAAGGGCTAGAGCCCAGATGGCCACTGGATCGGAAAAGTAAAAGTAAAGGAGAGCAAAGAAAAAGAGTGGTTGGAGGGTGGCACTGGTAGGTCCAACTTCTTTACTCTCCCTTTACTGTTTCTGTGTGTCAGTCTTCCTTTTTTAAATTCTAACTCTTAATGATACTAATGCTTTTCATTCAGTTAACGACACCCTACTTTTAGTTTTAGTATACGTGGTATATTTATATCTCCTTATCCAGGGAAGTTACAGTCCCCCAACTACACAGCTGATGACGTGGTTCCCATGCTGCGCTTGTTGGGCTGTATCAAGACAGAGAAACTACAGCATTCAAAGCAAACTGAGTATGTCACCTTGTTTTTTAATCAGTCTTTCCTCACCTTCTCCCATGCTTTTGCATGGTGCACAACACATATTTTGCTTTTGAGCACATTCGTGTGGAATGTATCGAATTTGATTATGCACATAGCAAATATTTTGAATGTAAAAATATGAAAACGCGTTTTGCAATGACTCGGAAGACAATACTAAATATTGTAAAAAGAAATGGGCTGGTTTACAAAAAGTATAACATTTCATAGATGTGTAAAAATTATTTTTGATATTGTAAATAGGTTAAATTTTCACATTTTATCAAGGCTTGTCCGTCATTTTAGCAAACAGATGGGCTAGTGACATTTTTAGCTGTTTACATGACTAAAGCTGTGTTGACAATAGCATAAAACAGCTACTCAATCATTCATTCTCCTATGCCTAACAAACTACCACCTAGTAGCAGTTGCTACTGTCCGTCTTTTGACATATCAGTGACATAGCTGATTAAGTAGACTGGTACTTCACCCTCAGCTGTTAGATAAAGTAAAAGAAGAGAGGATAAGATAAATCTTTATTTCCCAGACTCTGGCACACACACACGTTTGATATTTCACCACACACACACAGCACATGCAAGCACCCCTACACACATACGCATACACAAACATACACACACACACACACACACACACACATACACACACACACACACACACTCTGTCTCACATGTCAGCAAGCTGGTGGGTAGAGGGTGCCACTGGTAGGTCCTACTACTAGTGCTACTTCTTTTCTTTCCCTCTTTTGTTTCTGTCTATATGTCTTGCTTCTTCCATGCAATATATGACCATTATTGTGTCGACATGCTTCTCTTTACTCAAACTCAAACAAATCGCTACTCTAGAACTACAAAAGTTTTATCTGCTCAGTACCTAGTTTTGGGAAATTTGATGTTTAAAAAATTATGACTTTCACAACTCGTCAAGCTTTTTCAAAGGCAGTTCTTTGAATATTTTGATAAGGACTCCAAATAACCTTAAGATTTTGATTGAGTGGATAGAACATTTGGTTTCTGACCTCACGGTCTTAGTAACTCAAAACAGACAAAAATGTCTGACAGAACTTTGTAATTCCAAGTTATTGCTATGTCAGTGTGTTTATCTCACTCTGACAGGTCCATGCATGAGCTGCTGGCTCTGTCTGCTTACTTTGGAGGGCTGGTCGCCATCAAGAGGAAGTATTTCCCTGTGGTGTTGCCGCTCTTTGAACACGCAAGGTTTGTGTTGGGACGAAAGTGTGTCTTTGTCTCTGTCTCTGTCTTTGTGTTGGGACAAAAGTGTGTCTTTGTCTCTGTCCCTGTCTTTATGTTGAGACAAAAGTGTGTCTCTGTCTCTGTCTTTATGTTGGGACGAAAGTGTGTCTTTGTCTCTGTCCCTGTCTTTGTGTTGGGACGAAAGTGTGTCTCTGTCTCTGTCTTTATGTTGGGACGAAAGTGTGTCTTTGTCTCTGTCCCTGTCTTTGTGTTGGGACAAAAGTGTGTCTTTGCCTCTGTCCCTGTCTTTGTGTTGGGACAAAAGTGTGTCTTTGTCTCTGTCCCTGTCTTTGTGTTGGGACAAAAGTGTGTCTTTGCCTCTGTCCCTGTCTTTGTGTTGGGACAAAAGTGTGTCTCTGTCTCTGTCTTTATGTTGGGACAAAAGTGTGTCTCTGTCTCTGTCTTTATGTTGGGACGAAAGTGTGTCTTTGTCTCTGTCCCTGTCTTTGTGTTGGGACGAAAGTGTGTCTTTGTCCCTGTCTTTGTGTTGGGACGAAAGTGTGTCTTTGTCTCTGTCTCTGTCTTTGTGTTCGGACAAAAGTGTGAGTCTATCTCTTGTCCTTTAATTTGTTATAATATATAGCGGCTTGTCTGTTGTTTATCTGATATGACCTGATTGTGTTGCAATTGTCGTAAAACACTTACTGAAACAAAACATTCTTCACTGTGTCCTCACATTGTATCAAATCTTTTTCTTCTTTTTACCATCTTGGTGGATAATACATGCTTGTAGATTGAATTACCCCCACTCCCCGGGGCAGTGCTACTGACTGAAGTTGTCTTTAGGCCATTCCCAAAGAGGGGATATTTAACTTATTCTTATGTACAGTAGAATTGTAAATGGGCTGATGTATCAATGTTATGCATTTAACTGTGCCTGAACTGCATACGGGGAACTGCCTCTTTTTCTTTCCTAATCCTTACGATAGTCATTTTTCCTCTACTTGTTTTATATGTTTGTCTCTCTCTTGTGACCCGCTATTTCCGTGGTGCCTTGATAATTAAAGCAGACTTTGTACTGTTGAAGCTGGAGTGGTGAGCAGAGTAAGTCTGATTCCCTGTAAAGACTTCTCTGTTGACATCCACTCCTTGGCACTCATATGACCAAAAGCAGTTGCGAGTGCAGTAAAAATTTAACAAAAACAAAAGCAATTGGCGTAAAAACTTACTGAAACAAAACATTCTTTACTGTGTCCTCACATTGTATCGAATCTTTTTCTTCTTTTAGCCATCTTGGTGGATAATACATGCTTATAGCTTGAATGCCCCCCCCCCCCCCCCCCCCCCCCCCCCAGGGCAGTGCTTCTGACTGAAGTTGTCTTTAGGCCATTTCTCATGCATGGTAGAATTGTAAATGGACTGATTTATCAATGTTATGCTTATACTGTGCCGGAACAACATAAGGGGAACTGCTGCTTTTTCTTTCCTCATCCTTACTATTATAATTTTTCTTCTACTTCTTTTGTATGTTTGTCACTGTCTTGTGAACTGCTATTTCCGGGGTGCCTTGATAGTTGAAACAGACTTTGTTCTGTTGAGGCTAGAGAGGTGAACAGTGTAAGCCTTATTTCCCATTTGGACTTCTCTGTTGACATCCACCCCTTGGCACTCGTATGACCTTATGCAGTTGCGAATGCCGTAAAACCTTATTAAAACTAAACTAAACTAGCTTGAATCCTTTTTTTTAAAGCTGTAAACGCTAATGTATTCGAAATTCAAATTGTACTTTCAGTGGCAAAGCAGGGAATAGGCCGTCGACTTATACAGGTTAACTTTGTGGGTATGTTAGTGTGTTCTCATACAAGTGAGACTTGCTAACAGATGCCACTGTAAATCCACTGTTAACATAACGTCATGATTAATATGTGCGTTTGTGTGTGTTTGAGTTTAGAGTGCATGTGTGAGTATATTTTTGTTATTTATTCATTTTGCTTTATTTCATCTTTTTTAGTTTTGCAGATTCTGAAGAGTAGGCTAAATAAATTTATGAATTATTTTTTTGGTTTTTATTTTTGTTTTGTTTTTATTTTTGGTTCAAGGTAGTTTTGTGTTGAATATAGTGTATAAAGACTTAAGAAAGGAGTGTGTATGTGCTTGTATGTGTGTGAGCGGGGTGGTGTGAGGTACTGTGAAGGTCCTTTGCCAAAAATGTTCTCTTATGTTCCCTCAGATCTGTGATCAGCAGAAACTCTCTACAGCTGGCTATTTCAGACAAGCAAATTGAGGCAGACGCCAGAATCTTCTTTGCCATGCTAGAGAACAGGTGAGGCCAGTAAAAAGTGATGTGTGCTCACATGATTGAGTTACTTCTCGGATTTTAGCGTGATGGAAATAGATACCTAAAATGTGTGTCATGGTCATAAAATCAGGTTCTTGTGAAATTCATGAAATAAAAGAAATCAGCATTTTTCTGCCTTTTAGGCAATTTTCGTCGAAAACATATTTGTATTGATTTTACTGAAAAATATAGATCAATGGCACCAAAAAATGTAAATTTGCAGTTTCGAGAATACTAAAGCTTTAGATGTCACCATACTTAGCCATTTTCTCCCGAATTTTATCTCTGACACCAGGAAACCCCCCACCCCCCCACCCCACCTCCTTCAGTTGGAAATATGCGATGTCAATTCAAGATAGATGCACATTTTTTTCATCTAAAGAAAGACAAATGAACAGGTTTTAGTATTATATCAATAACTCATTATGACCACAAATTGACAAGTGCCTGATTCTGTCGTGTTGTGACAACACATTTAGAATTGTTGTTGGAGTTTTAAGTAAGTAATAATAATAATAATAGTAATAATAGTTATAATAATAATAGTAATGATAGTAGTAATGATAATTATAATCATAAATACCATCTGTATAGTGTATATCCCTGCATAACATCAGGCTCTCTGCGCTCTACAATCTATATTTAGAATATTGCTGTTCTCTCTCTACCAGACTGACTGAGGACTTGCGCCCCCAGTACCAAGCTCTGCTGACCCGGTGTGGCAGTGACACTGAGTGGGTGGTGGAGGCGGGCGAAGACTGTGTGGCTAGTTCACACTTACCGTCACACTCTGACGTGCACACGTCTTACTTGTCCAACCAACGCATCAAGGTCAGAAAGCGGGTGGTTGAGGGTGCTCTGGCGTGGTTTGCTCCCTCTTTCATATCCAACCTCTGTCGTCATTGTCTCTCCTCATTTTTTGTGTTTGTTACTCCCTTGTGACACATCAAATTTCTGGCATTTATATTAAGTAATATTGTTGCAAGTTCCGTGGATGGCTAACTGAATTTTAAAATGTGTAAAAATACGCAAGGTAAGAAACACAGTAGGAACACAGTGTCATTTGGGGGGAATTTGGTTGTCAGTCAAAAGAGTTATAGCTTTACATCAACACACACACAAACAGACACACACAAACAAACACACACAAACAAACACACAGACAAGCACATACAATCACACACATGCGCATATACATATGACACTACATCAACACGTACATAATGTATAGAACACTTTCGTCCATATGCATAGCATTTATCAGCACACACACATACATAACAAAATATACATATATATATATACATACATATATATAT